AGGTACAATTCATATGCACATTTACCTACCAGTTGATAAAAAAACCTCACAAATTTTAAGAAATAAGAGAAAAAACCTTGAAATTACAAGTGTCATTTGATAAAAATAAAGTCTTCATCAAATTTCTGTCAGAGGCATCTTTATCATAATTCTACATTCTTACAAAAAGATTGTAATAAGCAAGTTAGTAAAAACATGTTATGGTTACATTTGGAACATTACAGGCTCAATTCAGTTGCCCACACATAGGCACATGGTACCATTTAAAATGCTCTTGGTGCCTACCTAGCCTCCAGCTGCTATCCCAGAAGGCCTTTCACAGGTTGTGTCACATCTCACAGCCTCCTGTATCAACACCATAACAAATTTAAAATAAAAAAAAAAAATTTAAAAAATCAGATAGGGTAGTATTCAATAAGTAAAGTTTACTCTTAGACTTGTTATCAACTTATTTTGCTTGTATAATCAGATTTCATAAATTATACACTAGTCAGTAGCTTAGCTAAAAAAATCCATTCAGTATTCTTATAATCTGTAATAGAAACAAGCAGAAAATAATCATACAGGAAACAGCGAGATAGAGATTTTACACATCCCTAGCAATTCAGGTCTTTTTTTCATGCTCATACTAGAATTGCTTAGATTTAGCAGCAGAATACGTATCACGGAGTAGCATAATACAAAGTGAGAAACTTTTAATATCTGTGAGGAAAATGACATTATTAGCATTCATAGCATAGCCTATAATGTACCATATTTCCATTACTTAAGAGTAGCATTTGTTTGATCTATTCAGAGCAATTCTGGATAGGAAGATGTAATTCACAGACACAGTCTTTTTACAGCATCTGAGACCAACAGGACTATTGCTGCCTTTCCTGCTCCCCACAGGACTTCTGGGTGCAGACTATAAGGACACATTCATGTTTAATTATTATGAAAATGTCACATAAAGAATGAGAAGCGAGTTAAATCACTGTACAAAGATTTAAACTGGAAGCTAGTAAGGTTTTAATAACACTCTGCCTGTGAATTATGCTTCCAATAACACATAAATGTATTATGAAGCTTTAGTTGGTATAAAGCAGTTTCTTATGGCTTAATGTATTTGAAAAGAGAATGGCTGTACTTTGTGGTAACAGAAATACCAATTATGAATCAAACTCGTAGTTTAATTCACTTAATTATAGCTGCAGTTAAGTTAAAGCAAAAGCCATGTTTAAATACTTTGTCTCTCCACTTTGACAAACTGAAGAGAATGTTCATTTCCTCATATTTATTGGAGTACTGCAATGAAACCCCAGCCTTTCACTGCAATGCCATACACCCTCTTGGCATGCCTCTCATCTTAACTGGACTCCAGCCGTGCTGCAGGCCATGTCCTACCTCTGCCTCCTGCCATCCACCACACAGAAATGGCGGTTCCTCCATCACTGGCCATTTCCCTTTTTACCTACTACAGCACCTCCAGCCTTACCTCCGTATCCCAGGATATCTGACCATGCAAACATGACGAGCGTCTGCAGGAGAGGTAGAGATGTAATTTTGAAGGAAGCTAACACACCTGATACTTGGTGTATCAGGTGCCCATGCTCAGGTGTTGGCGGGAATCTCTGTGAGGAGAGGTCAGGGCTGCCCGTGCCTGACACAGCTGGTTCCAATCAGTTCCAGCCAAGCCCATCACCAAGGCCAGTGGTGCCTCTGTGGTAACAGATTTAAGGGGAAAACCACACAGCTGTGAGGAAAAAAAGTGGGAGCAACGAGCCCTGTGAGCACCCAGGTCAGAGAGGGAGGAGGAGCTGTGGGTGCCCAAGCAGAGACTCCCCTGCAGCCCCTGGAGGGACCATGGTGGAACAGATTTTTTCCTGAAGGGTGGCAACCTGTGGAGAGGATCCACACTGGGGCAGGGGAGAAGCGCGAGCTCTGCAGATCACATAAGCTGAAAGTAGAACATATACTTGCCCTGTCACAAGCTATGCGAATTGTCCTTGGAAAAAAATCCAACCTGCTAAGACAATCTTGCCTCAGCAGGTGAAAGCAACAGCATCACCAAACATTTTGAGAGTGCCTTGTGGTGGCCTCATATGAGAAATTGCTTACTCTTCAGATTATTCTTTATTTTACTTACTAATGAAAAGAGGATGAGCAGCTCTGTACTTACAGTACACTCATTGCAATAAAAAATTTAAAATAACAGCCCCTGTGTTGGTGGACTGCATTCTAGCTACGAACTAATGAACATTCCTCTGCAAGCAAAATTAACATTTTTAAGGAGTATTTGGAAGAAGGTATTTGGATTGTATTATAGTATTTCTTCACCTCCTATATATGTAAGCTTTATTCAGTTAAAAAGGCCTCATCATAATCCTGACTGCAGGGGAGCCATGACAGCTCAGATTTGTCCTGACTGCTTCTTTTAGGATTCAAATTGCAATCTTCAGCCTCAATCCCCATTCCTACATCTGCTTTAGCTGGAAGTGAGCGAGAACATCCAAAATTTACACAGACGGACCCCTTTCAGCCTCAGGACAGCCGCCAAGACTTCAAGAGCCACTGCTATTCTGTTCCCACTGCTCCCCCTCTGAGAAGGCAACCACGATATTTCATGTACATTTAATACCAACATGAAATATTTATTACCCTTCCCAGCTTTAAGTTCTGCTTAGCGTTTTATCTTAAACCTCAAATTGGCACAAAAAAAAACCCCAAAAACCCATACATCTGGAAAGATTTCAGTCCCTAAACCCATGAAAGCTCAAGTGAGTTACTTCACAAGATCACAATTAAAAGTTTATTTGCATTGTACATAGTCAACCCTCTTACACTTTAAATCATCTTGTTGTTACAGTAGTACAGGAACTTTTTAAGAGATGTTAAAGGATTTGAACTTGCATTATCTCATTACCCTTACGCAATCTGTCAATAAATCAATGTATTGTGTATGACTGGAAGTGGCTAACACATTCTTTTTAACTGTCTACACCAGTAGTAAAAAATCACTTTAACATTCCTGAGCATTTCAGGCCGCTCAACCTACGATGCAACACAAACCCCTCATAACACATCTCTAAAAACACACAGGAGTGAAAACTGTCCCCAGCCCACTGGCCAAGCATATGGGCTTTTAGGTCATCTGTTGGGCTCCCCCTGCCTGCACAGACAGCCCTGCCCCTGATGATTAGGGCATCCACAGCCTCTGACCACCTGCACAAGGGGCACAAGGGGAAGATGGACACAATGCCAGCAGATGCTCTGTAGTACATGGTGAATAAAAGCAAAAATGAAAGCAAAAACTCAACATGCGCTAGCAGAGGTGAAGAACACACGTTGAGGACCAGCTCAAATGACACAGGGAGCATGAGTGGCGCAACACGGAGATTTGGCCAGGGCACCCACCGCAGAGCAGCGGCAGGAGGAAAGGACGGGGAATGCTGCGAGACAGGGACAAGCAGCAGGGTAGGGGAATGAGAGGTGGCCAGGAGAGGCTGAGGCCAGCCTGTCACAGGAGGCACAGGGCTGAAAACCTGAGCATCAACACCTGCCCCCCACAACTGGCCAGTCAGCTGGGGGGCACAGCCTGCAGGCTGGGAGGGGACACCTGCCCCAGGTCCCTGTGGATGCAAGCCTGCAATGGGGTACAGGCCCCCACCCAGGTCTGGCAAAGGCTCTGGGAGCCCCAGGCCAAGGGGTCACCGCAGCACTCATCTACCCCAGCAGTGAAGCTGTCATCCCCCTTCCCAGGGGTATTTTTCAGTTCCTCCCCAAGGGGAACAAACAACTTAAGTTGAGCTCAAAGGATTAGAGGGTGTTGTTTAAAAAAAGAAAAAAATATATATATATTTACAAACACAAATGGAATGAGAGTCTGAAAAACCAGGAGGTAGTGCCAGAAACAGCCTGCAGTGAGGGGAAGTGTCTCACCTTCCACAGGCTCCAGCCCCAGCTTCAGGTAATTCCATCTGTTCCCCAGTAAGTAATGTGCTGATACAGTAAGTAAGCAACTCTAACTCCCACACATCTGTCTTTACTATTGCTTCCTCTGAAATTCTAACCCCCAAGCCCAGAAAAAACAAACCCCACTTCAGAAATACATTTTGAAATCCTACCAAAGGTCTGCTTTCTGTTATGTTAACCACTGGCTAGTCAACATCCTTCCCTGGCTTTAAGGAGAACAACTTCCAAGAAGTGGCCTTCAACTCACTCCAATTGCAGAGGCTTTGTTACAGAGACACGACCCTGCATGAGACAAATTCCAGCTGGATGTTGATAATTGACATTATTCCTGCATGTTAAACATTTAAAAATATACAAGTTACTTAAGCTTTAAGCTATGTGCTAAAATATAAAGACCAAAGCTTCTCCTTTATTAAGACTTCAAAGAGATAGTATATTAGTTCTGGTCACCCCGGCTTTTGCTGAAACAGATGAAGTTACAACTCACTTCACATGTCCTTGGCCATTATTCCCTATTGCACATTCAACTTCCACCTAATTAGTCACATGTTGTTTCCAGCACAAACTCCCTCCCATTTAAGCAAGCCTTATGTGTTTAAACAAGAGGGCCTCCCATCAGCACCCATCTCCTCTCTCTCCCTTCTTGCTAATGGGGTAATGGATCTTCACAATTCTTGTAGTTCCACAAGTATAAGATGTAGGACCTGTTCCTATTTTTAACAGTGCCACCTCATTTCAGAAGGTTAAAAAAAAATAAAATCACATCATATTGTTTGCAACAGACTAATGAAAAGGCTATGTATCAGCATAACAGACAACGTATAACTCTTAGTTCTGCTTGCAGATGAAGTTATGCAAAGCCTCCTAGTGCTAAACATCTGGAAGGCAAGAACAACCCCACATGCTATAAAGTCACAGCCCAGCTTCTGGCAGCTCCTTGCTTGCAGGAGAATCAAGCATGTATTCCAGATACTATACACTGTTTTCCCCGGTGTCAGCAGCTCTTGTGAACAGGTCAAATCCATCCAGGCAAAGAGGACACACATCTTCTGTGTCTCAACCACAGTATACTTGAAGAAAAGCACACAAGTTTCAGTCTACATACGTGGAGAATAAAATGCAACCAGGCAGACAGGATAGAACTGTAGGAAGGTCCCTCAGGCATGTCTTTGTTCAGTGATCTTATTTGCTAGAGTTGCATCTGTGACACAGAAGTGCTCAAGACTGGAGGCCCAGAAGAGGGCTACAGAAGCCTTCCAAGTTTCAGAGGCACAAGGTGGGAAGACTTCTACACATCCAGAGTCAGCTGAACGAAGCAAACGTTAATAAGAAATTCCTTTGACTGCAGTGTTATCAAATTTGCTCAATAGCAAGATTGCTGCAACTCAGCAGTCTGTGCTGATGCCTCACAGAGGCCAGAAGAGCATTCTCAGCCGCATTTCCCTCCTTAGGAATACATAGGTACCTTACAGTCACTTCAGAGAGGAAAAAAAAGAAAAAAAAAAAATCTAAGATTTCTTGTGTGACCACTTACCCTTCAGTCCTTACTGCAAGAGGAAGATCAAAGAACCCCAGCCCTCCCTTTCACCCACAGGGCCAGGTAGTGTTATACTATCCAAACACTACAGTAAGTATTCTGCAACCAGGAGCTGCCCCACCACATTCCCTCTTTGCAGTTTCATCTCTCCTGCCACTATAAGTTGTAATTTGAATGATCTTGCTTGGGAAGAAAAGGAAGCATCTTGACACAAACATCTCACCCTGGTTGCACAAAGCAGTCTTTGCTACCACAGCATTTTTCTTTACCTGGGTTAGAAGTTGATGACGCCTCAGCTGTCTATAGAACTGCAACACAGAAGGATCAGCTCTCACTACTTTTGGGTCAAAATCCAGAACACGGAGACCTGCAAGGCTACGGGCTCGGGAAAGGGCTACATAAGCCTGTCCACTTTCAAAGACACGAGACAGGGAGATTTCCACACAGTCTAAAGACATGCCCTATCAAAGACACAGAGAAGCTCGTTACAAAACAAACAAGAACACCGTGCGCTATCAACGTTAACCTGACCTCTGAGTCCGTCAAAGGTACCATCCTCAGCGTACAGACTTGATTAAAAAAGAGAGTCTCTTACTTGACTATGTAACTGATTAAAAGATAACTGGGGGCAGAGAAAGAGAATGGACAGTTTTGCACTCTCAGGAAGTTGCTAGCAGACAGTAGGGTCCACTAACTCTGATAAGCCTCATGTGTGAAACTCTACAAATCCCATATACCCAACCCAGCAGGGAAATGAATCCTGCTGTTTTCACTCCTGGTAATTAACTGGAGGAGCAACCAGACTCAAGCAGTCCTCAGGCAGACTATCTAAGACAGCATTTGGGTTAAGCCTGGCCAGCCCTCTCTGCACCAAGAGATGTTCCAGGAGGCAGCAGAATTTACAACGTGAACTGGTTTAAACAGTGGCATGGGAACAAAGTCACAGGTCTTTTACAAAGAGATGTATTTATCAAAGCGTATGAAGTCTTCTGGAAAGATAAGAACCATATTACTTACATTGAAAAAAACCCGACACGCCTCTGAAAGAGCACACCTGTGACTAGTGCACCTTCTTCAGGTACACTACAAACCTCAGGGTCACTAATGGTGATGGCTGTCAGGGAAACACTACCCTGATCAGCCTGCAGCAGTAATAATATTTTATATTCCAACACCAAGCGTGCAGTTCGCAGCACCTTTATGGGAACTCTAGGGTCACAGATAGGCTAGCAACACTGCTCACGTACCCTAGAGCTCCCACACAACAAAGGCTACAGTTTTGCTTCCTGTTTTACCAGCAATGCAAACTCACTCAGAAAAATAAGGCTTGTGCTAGTCTAAAAGTCTATAGGCAGCTGTATAAGAACACCCACCTGACTCTTGTGAATGGAAATGGCCCATGCCAATTTTAAAGGCAACTGTTGACGACTCAGATGAACTCCTGATGGTCCTTTGAAGACCCATTTCTCCATTTTGATGACCTGTGTGACCCCACAGAGAAATCTAACCTTAGGCAGCCCTGTAGGAATGGAAGCAGGAGAGACACATGGGTGTATTCCTGACACTCAAGAGCCAGGAATCTAGCAGCCTAAGAACACTCCCTCCCTGCTTCCCCATGTCAGTCTTTCATGAATTATAGGGCTTTTTTTTTTTTTAGGGAAAAAAAAAATCCCACGCCAAAAAACCCAAAACAAACAACTATACCCACATGCAGTAAATAGAATGTCCTGAAATGATATTTGAGACCTGCTTACACAGAAGAATTACAGTCAGATAATTTTTCTCTGCATCTCAACTGATAAATTTACATACGCATTGCAGGTAGCAGAACATAATTCTGAGAAAAACAAACACACCCCACACTCCCATCCCCCAAAACACCAAGACATGCTTCAACAGAACAGACAGGAAATGCAAAGGAGCATACACATCTAGAGAATAAGGAAAAACAAACACAAGAGGCCCTACAGATAGTGACAGTCAATGCAGCGCATGACATCACAGCTCATGAGAACCCCAAACCTCTCACTGCAGAGAAGACCTCCTCCCTACTTTCCCCCAAATTAGTCATACCAGGCAGCAGACAAAATTAACAAGTCATCAGCAGTCAATGATAAATTGTTTTGGTTCCCCCCCACCCCCCAACAAAAAAAATTAAAAAGCTTACTTACCCTTCTCTTCACTTTCAAATCCTACAACAACTCCTCGTGCCCCGTTCACCAGCCCTTGAGACACATCCAGATTCTTAGCTAGCATCACCTACAGAGAAAAAGAAAACTCCCTTAGTGCACTGGTTTTATAGCCTGTTCAGCCACCTGCAGCTCAGCTTCTAGCCAGGAAGCACAAGCACAGCAGGCTGGCATGGCCTGAGCCACATCATCCTATTGCAGGATACAGCACCATCTCCAATTTGATTGAAATTGTTTAATAGCCTTTCCTTCCTAGGATTCCCAGCTACATCATTCTGCAGCACTAAACACTTCACTTGAGCTGCTTCTGTCCACAACTGTGAGCTCAGATACAGAGAACAGATTCCCCTTCCCCAAACAGCCTAGATATAGACAGATTCTGGAAACACCCAAGGAGCAACTTCCCAAGGCAAACAGTGCTGCTGCTAAGCACAATCCTGCATCCTTTCCACTCCAACAGCCCTAGCTCACAGCAAGGTGCCCGGTCCTGCAAGTCTGGCAATCTGTGCCACACTCTTACAGGTCAGGAGGGCTGCTGTACCTGGAGCTGAGACTGCAGGGAAGGACTGCCTGTGCTCTCTGCTACCTGAAAGCTTCTAAACCTAATTGGAAACATGCATCAAAGTCATAATCATCACCACTGTCCACAAGACATGGACATGCACTCAAATAGAATCAATTCTCTGTCTGGATAAGATTCCAAGCAGAAGAGATACAGACTGGGCTAGATTCCTCTGTTGGCCTGGCATAGCCATCCTATACAGAATCTGCATTCTATACATTAATCTACTCTATACAATTATTTGTTATTCCTTTCTTTTATGCCATTTGATCTGCTGGTCTTTTACAGATATATGCACACACACTCACCTGAGCTCCAAGCTTTAGCTCAACTCTACCACCCACAGGACACTGAGCATCAATTAACTTCACTAGCATTGGGTCACTGTCCAAAGCCTCAAAAGTGTGGACTTCTCCTATTAAGGAAAGAAAGATGTGACAAATTGTAGCCATTGAACATATTCCACACAGTGCTGCAGGAGGCTCAGCATTTCTTTCTAACAGCAATTCTTCTTTTAATATCTATTCTGCTCTGCTGGTAGGACATTTTTGCACAAAATTTGTTACGTCTCACAGCAGAAAGCTCACTATTGCCTCTCTTCCCAGCATACCTCTCGGAGCATGAGAAGGCTGAGGAATCGAGGGCCAGCAGTAAATAGGAACTGAGCAGTCACATGTTGAGCATATGACCAGTTTCACCTGCTGCCTCCAAAGAGGACTAAGGAAGAGTTCTAGGGTAAAACAGGGAGGCAGAAATGAAATAGCCCTTAATTCAAGTCATGGCTGGATAGAGCACCACCTTTCTGAGATGCTACAGAAAGAAGCAGCAGGGGGATGGAGGCAATAATGACCCACCCTACTCCACAGTAAGCAATGAGCTTGCTGTGTATTATACACTAGGAAGTAACAGTGTGGATTTTTAAGCAAAAAGCTGTGAAGTCTTTCCCCAGGCAGCTCAACTCCAACATGCACATCTTGGACTGGTGATGCTGTGCATGACAGAACACCAGTTCCTCCTAACACTGCACTATCCTCATTGCATCCACTCAGAGATCAGCCCCAAAGCCAGCAGCTTCCTCCAAGGACTTTACCTGATAGCTGTTGCAAGCGTCTCTCATTAGTTATTTCTACATCATCTTTATGGGTGCAGAGCCGTGTAGCCAGGATCCCATCACGCTCAGACCTGTTAGTAGCAGTCTGCATTAGCAGTCTGGTAACCTCCTCTGTGCACCTGGTAAGCAGGGAAAAAGGGAATATTATTGAAAGTGATCAGGAACACGTCTTGAGCAGCAGTAACCTCCACGCAGCTGGATCTGGCTGTGCAAGCCCCAGGCCTCTAGAGAGAAGGACAGAGGAACAGAACTACACAAAGTTGGAGGGCAGTGCAAGCGTGCATCCCCAGACCTGCCCTGGCCACTGCCAGCTCAGGTTCCATTGCGTTCCTGAATAGAAATTGCAAAGAGGGACCCTAGAAAGGGCCTTTCCTTACCAGAGCAGCATATCTAAAAACTGCTTACATTAACTAAAGCATTTATAGCTATTGTCTCCAGCCAGGCGTTCCTGATAGAGCACAGGGAAGAAGTGACAAGCTGTTCCTTCCTCTGCTCTACTGGTAGGGAGCAGGGATTACAAAGAGACAAGTTTCTCCTCACCTGCCCAAACGGACTGCACTCAGGAGCGAGACAAAGGTCTTGTCGGTCTGTCTCCGCACTTCAGTCAGCTCCATGTTTATGTGGATGCATTTCCTCCAGCTTTTTGCCTAATAAATCATTCTCTTGTTAAGAAAGAGTCAGACTTAAAGTATGAGGATGAGTTTAGGGACGGGTTTGTACCTGGAAGCAGAACTTGGTTTCTTCATTAAGCTTGCAGACTGGGGGTAGCTGCAAGAAGTCCCCACAGATGATTAGCTGAATTCCTCCAAAAGGCTCATCCCGTTTTCTGACTGCCCTAAGAGGGAGGGAAGAGAGGAGAAGCTTTGAATGTCCTCCAGGGCCTGGACACAGTCAGGTCTTAGAAGTTATTTAGTCTGTCAGTACATGCAAACATACACCACCTGCAGTAAGAGATGAGTATTCTCAGCTGCATCAGAAGAGCTCAAATAATTAAGCAATGCTATTACAAGACACACAGTTTTCTTTGCCTGCCCACCCCTGATGTCATTACTAGCTTCTTTGGTAGCTGCTATACCACAACTGCTTCTCTCTACAAGAGAACTGCTGGACACAGCATAAATGGACAGCTGTATTCTGGACTCAGCTCTACAAACAACACTCGGCTCTGGAGATGGAAACAGCAACCAGAACACCCACAGCCAGGACACGATCAAAACCTATCTCAGGATGAAGATCTGCCCAAATTCTGGCTATGAGTTCATGCTTCCTTCCAGTCCTGTGCCAGGGATTGCCTTGTATCCATTCACACAACCAGAGAAAGGGGGCAACCTAGAAATGTAGAGAAACTCATTTCTGTTAGTTGTTTGACCTGACGATCGCTCACCTTGCCACTGCCTCCAGCTTGTCAAAGAACTTGCCGTCCACCATGGAGATCTCATCGATAATTAAGTGCTGGCAGGCCAGCCAGTGCTGGCGCACCCCAGGCCTCTCCGCCAACTGAATGCACTGTTCCAGCGGTGCTTTCCCAGAGCCGATCCCTGGCAGGGGAGAAGAAAGCAAAGCTTTGGGAAGCTCCTGACTCTTTGCAAAGGCAGCGAGAGCTCTGAGCCTCTCACTGTCAGGCAGTACCGTTACCTGCAAAGGCATGGAGAGTGGTGCCACCAATGTGGCACG